TATTTATCATATTTGTACATCATATACTGCAACCAGAAACACGTTTGGGTGGATGCTTCTTGGTTTCAAAAGTATTCACTCATGAGATGCTCAAGTGAAAGATGTTTTGTCCAACAGAACAATAAAACACAAAATGGAAAATTGCAAAATGACTTCAAACATTTTGGTCACAAATCTGATAAGAAGGTTGAGAATTACTGTGCATATCCTTAATCCTCACAATCAGTTTTATGTTCAGGATTATTTTGCCAGCAACACATTGAAGCATAGCCCCTGGAATACTTTATTTTTTTGAAAAAATGTTTGATTAAGGATAAAGATGTTTATGATGTTTGTTATAACATCATAAAACACCCCAGTAGAATTGCGATTTTCCCTTCTCTTTCCACTACTGTACATTAATGGATAGAAGACTGAAGGTTGTAAAGACATTATCAAGAAAGATATGACCCAAAGCTAAATTTCAATGCTGAAGTTATTCATCTGGCGGAAAAGAAGCTCCCTCTCATCCCTGCATCTCAAATAACCCTATACTTTACTTGATTATCAGCTCATTCTTCTACCCTGAAAACTTCGCAAAGTGCCAACCTATCCAACAGTGAGATAGCTATATGAGGTTATATAAAGGCACCAAGACATCAGAAGCTGTTAAATTCTAGTTGGCCAGTTGGTATGCATCCTATTGGATCATAGTTCTAGGCCAATGACGTGACAGAATCCAACCAAAATTGAAATGATTGGCTGCGGGGACCATGGCTGGAGACAATAAAAGAGCAAGCCTTGGGCAAGGAAGAAGTGCTTCTGGTGTGCAGCTGTTGGGTAGCTGAAGGAAGAGTTGGAAGTCAGATAGTGGGCATTGAGGAACAGAAGTGGCTTGGACAGGCTTGGGAACCAAGAGCTATCATCACTAGACTAGGACTGAGAATGTTCATAGGGAAGAGTTTATGACTGTAGAGGCAAACCTCAGAAGAATTCTGTAGCCAATTGTCAGCAAGATTGCTGAAATATTGAGACAGAAGTGTTGGCTGGACCAGGGTAGAGACGGAAGCAGAAGTCCTATGAGAAGTATGAGAGACTCTGGAAGGAACAGGGCATTAATCAGATTGAAGACTTCATAGTCCTGAGTTCAGGACTGTTATAGGGAAACTGACTTATGTTTGGATAGGGGGAGGAACTGAAGTGCAAGTAGTAGGAACCCTATATTGTGTTGGTTATACTGCTTAAAGTTATAGTAACATATTACTGTAGTGTATACATACTTATTTAAAGTAATTGTAGCAAAGTAAAGTTTATTACTAGCTTATTAAGTAACCAAACACACATACATCACAATCTGTTTATGTTAACAATTTTAAATAAAATGTAGTATACTCTGTATTTATATTTGGATAGCTGTGCCGTTTTGCCCTATGCTTAACCATAGCTACTGATGGATAAACGTATGAAAGTGCTAAATGGTGGTGAGATAACATGGTGGGTAGCAATAACAAAGGGTGAAGAAAAAAATTGATGGGTCATAGCAGAGAAAACTAAAAGTGTGAAATAACCCCCTCAATAATAATGAGTGAGGTATTTTCCACGAGGACAAGTACATGGATTGGTTTAAAACTATGATGTGAATAATATTCCAAATTCCTTTGTCTCAGAACCCAGAAAAGGATTTTCATCAGAATTTTTTTGTGTTACATCAAAATTAAATGTATGCTATGCAGAGTTTGGAAAATTTGCAGAATTTGGAAAACTCAGCAGAATTTGGAAAACTCAGCAGTGGCCAGAAGATTGGAGAAGATCAGTCTACATCCCAATCCCAAAGAAGGGAAGTGCCAAAGAATGCTCCAACTACCGCACAATTGCACTTATTTCACACGCTAGCAAGGTTATGCTTAAAATTCTACAAGGCAGGCTTAAGCAGTATGTGGACCGAGAACTCCCAGAAGTGCAAGCTGGATTTAGAAGAGGCAGAGGAACCAGAGACCAAATTGCAAACATGCGCTGGATTATGGAGAAAGCTAGAGAGTTCCAGAAAGACATCTACTTCTGCTTCATTGACTATGCAAAAGCCTTTGACTGTGTTGACCACAGCAAACTATGGCAAGTTCTTAAAGAAATGGGAGTGCCTGATCATCTCATCTGTCTCCTGAGAAATCTCTATGTGGGACAAGAAGCTACAGTTAGAACTGGATATGGAACAACTGATTGGTTCAAAATTGGGAAAGGAGTACGACAAGGCTGTATATTGTCCCCCTGCTTATTTAACTTATATGCAGAATTCATCATGCGAAAGGCTGGGCTGGATGAATCCCAAGCCGGAATTAAGATCGCCGGAAGAAATATCAACAACCTCAGATATGCAGATGACACAACCTTGATGGCAGAAAGTGAGGAGGAATTAAAGAACCTTTTAATGAGGGTGAAAGAGGAGAGCGCAAAATATGGTCTGAAGCTCAACATCAAAAAAACGAAGATCATGGCCACTGGTCCCATCACCTCCTGGCAAATAGAAGGGGAAGAAATGGAGGCAGTGAGAGATTTTATTTTCTTGGGCTCCATGATCACTGCAGATGGTGACAGCAGTCACGAAATTAAAAGACGCCTGCTCCTTGGGAGAAAGGCAATGGCAAATCTAGACAACATCTTAAAAAGTAGAGACATCACCTTACCAACAAAGGTCCGTATAGTTAAAGCCATGGTTTTCCCAGTAGTGATGTATGGAAGTGAGAGCTGGACCATAAAGAAGGCTGATCGCCGAAGAATTGATGCTTTTGAGTTGTGGTGCTGGAGGAGACTCTTGAGAGTCCCATGGACTGCAAGAAGATCAAACGCATCCATTCTTAGGGAGGTCGGACCTGGGTGCTCACTGGAAGGACAGATCGTGAAGTTGAGGCTCCAATACTTTGGCCACCTCATGAGAAGAGAAGACTCCCTGGAAAAGACCCTGATGTTGGGAAAGATGGAGGGCACAAGGAGAAGGGGACGACAGAGGATGAGATGGTTGGATAGTGTTCTCGAAGCTACAAACATGAGCCTGACCAAACTGCGGGAGGCGGTGGAAGACAGGAGTGCCTGGCGTGCTCTGGTCCATGGGGTCACGAAGAGTCGGACACGACTAAACGACTAAACAACAACAATGCAGAGTTTCTTGTAATCCTTGCATTTGGCCCTGAACATTGTTGCATATGCACATCTTTACTTCAGCCTAGGATTTCTATCCCCCCCCCAGAGAGATTTTAACCCTTTTCAAGAGTTTCCTAGGGCAGCTTACAAAAAAAGTTTAAATTACAATAAGATTAAATCAAAACACAACATAGCAGTATTAATGAAAATATACCCACACACCAGCATAAAAGCAGTGTACAAATTATAAACCCTGGGAAAATAAAAAGGTCTCTGCATGGTGCCAAATTTACATCAAGGTATTTGCCAGGTGAGCCACCCTGGGAAAAGTCTTCGACAGCCAGAATGCCATTCCACTGAAGCTACCTGCCACACCTTAGAATCTTACGTAACTGTAGATTACATGAATACTGAAACACAGTTGTAGTTAATGACAAAATAAAAACTGACAAATCACCAGGTCTGGATGGCATCCAGTTGAAAATTCTTAAAATGAACCAACCTGGACTCTGCGATCATCATCTGAGGCCTTTCTTTGTGTGCCTTCTCCATGAGAGGTCCAGAGGTTGGCAACGTAAGAACAGGCCTTTTCTGTGGTGGCTCCATTTGTGGAATGCTCTCCCCCCAGAGTGCCTTAATTACATATCTTTAGGCGTCAGGTGAAAATGTTTCTCTTTAACCAGGTCTTTGGCTATGTCCTTCTCAATGTGTTTGTGCCAGGGAGGTTATTGGTTTGTTTTTGCTATGTATTTTGTATTCTCACTTTGTATTTTTATGTTGTGAACTGGCCTGTGATCTTCAGAAGAAGGGCAGGATACAAATTTAATTAATAATAGTAATAAAATTAAAAGAATGTTAATGTGAGAATATTCAAAAATATGCAACTTGCTTCTAAGACCAGGCTCCATACCATAGAACTGGAAAGTGGCCAACATAACACCAATGATAAAAGGCAGATTTACTGGGGTTCAAGAAAGTGAGACCAATTCGCTTAATATCTATCTTGGGGGAAATCCCATTTTGTTTAAATTACCTGGTATTGGGGCCTGTGCTTTTTAACTTGTCAATGTATTCATTATGATCTAGAGTTAGGGGTGAGTAGTGAGGAAGCCAAATTTGCCTACGATATCAAATGGTTCAGGGTAGCTTAAACAAAATGGGATTTTTCACACCAAGTGAATAGATAGTACAAAGGCACACAATTTAATAAACACAAATGTAAAGTGATGCACCTTGGGGATCTTTAGGCAACAGGTGCACAAGGAGGAACATGACTGAGGTGTATAGAACTATGTATGTTACGGAGACTCACTCCTAAACTTCCTTCCTTCCTAAAACCCTCATCAGCGAACAAGCCAAAAGCCAGTGCAAAACTGCATAAAATCAAGTTAAACAAACCAGCACATGGAAAAGTAATGCGGGTCAATTACATAATAATAATAATAATAATAATAATAATAATAATAATAATAACAACAACAACAACAACAACAATAACAACAATAATAATTTATTTATATCCCGCCCTCCCCAGCCGAAGCTGGGTTCAGAGTGGCTAACAGTAAAAATAACACAATTTACATAAAATCACAATCAATTAATTGAAATACATTCTAAAATCAATTAATTCTAAAATCAATTCGGGATCATATTAATGGCAACCATTGGGCTAGAGTTCTATGAGGATTACCAAAAGGAGGTACCTAAATGCGCGTAATCAAAAAGGACTGGGGGTGTGTATGTGTATTTCAAAGTCTTCCCGCAGCTCTAGGTAGACCACAGTGCATGGGCCAGGAGAGCCTCTTTAGGAAGGTCCTTCCACCTCCGGAGCCTTTTATGTTCCCCGAGGCTGTGCGGGCAAGCGCGTGGGAAAAGCCGACAAAAGGCGCCAGCGAGGGAGCCCAGGGCGCATCCAAGAGATAGGAAGAAGTAGTTAAGAGAGGTGGCCAACGAAGACAGCACTTTCCCCTCCTTTCCCCGCTCCCTCCCGCCTTGCACAGCCTCAGGCCCGGGCAGGAAGCCGTCGCCGGGAGCTCCGCGCGCCTCCTCTCCCTCCCTCTCTCCCGCAGCCCTTCGCGTCCCCGGCTGAAGCCTCTCTCTCGGAAGCTTCCCGCCGGATGGTGTCACCGCCAAATGCGTCCGGCGAAAGGGAGGCGGCGGCTTCGGCGGCGGTTGTTGTGAGGCTGGAACCCGGAACTGCCTCGGCGGCCGACCAAACAAACCAACCTCAGGCTCGCTTGGCCCTTGGCGACGACGCCTCCTCGGCTGCTGAGCATGAAGGGCCGGGCTGCGGACGACGGGGCGCCTCGCGGGGAGTGAACCACCGCCGGCGAGCCGCTAGCTGCGTTCCGGGCAGGAGAAGGAGAAGCCCCATGAGGAAGCCGAGGCCGCGGTAGGGTGAGGGGCGTCTCGGTGGGGGGCGGCGAAGGGCGGCGCGCGCGCTCAGCTTGAGGGGGTCTCGGGGTGCCTCGCGGGGGGCGTTGAAGCAGGAGGAAGGCGGCGGGGAGAAGTTGTGGAAGAGGCGTGTGGGGGAGAGTCAAGGGTCCTGACCCTGGGCTGGGGGCATGAGATTCAAGGGTTGGGTTCCCCGTGGCAGAACACGCGCAGGGCGACTTGCCCTCCCGGAGCCCACGTGGAAGAAACTGCTAAAAGTTTACACCTGGCTAGTTGGACGCTTCCCGTGTTTGGGTCGCGTTTCAACAAGGTTGAAGTTTGTGTGGTGGTGTTGGCCTTAAGAGAGAATAGCAAAATAGCTTACAGCTGTCACCTGTGACGCTGTGTGCCGAATGCATTTGGTTGTGTTTAGGATGAAGAACGTTTGGGACATTGCAATAATCCCATATGTTCTTCATCCTAAACAGAACCAACGCATTGTTATTGTAGTAACCTGCAGTTTGATAAGAGTACGGTATATATTTAAAGTAGGTGAATAAATGAGGAAATTAAGTTATTTTGGATATGCAGAAGATATTAAAAATAAATTTAAGGAACCGCAGAAAGAGGGGAAGGAGGTCAAGTTTCAAAATGTTAAAATGATTGTAAAATTGGTGAAATATATAAACCTGAAAAGCATAAATAATGTTTTTTAAAAAGGAAAAGAACATTTGGGACAGAAATGCCACCCCTCATAGCAAAAACCCAATGAGTGGCTGGGGAAGCCCAGCCAGATGGGTGGGGTATAAATAAATTATTATTATTATTATTATTATTATTATTATTATTATTATATATGTTTGCATGCGTTGCTTCAGATTTGTTCCCTCCTACTAGGCACTTTAAAAGGAGTTGTTTTTAAACTGATACAATAGATGCATTGTTTTATTATTATGGGCCGCATACAAAACTTACTATATTTGGGCTGCAAATTGTCATTGGTAGTGATACACAAACTGGTGGGGAGATTACGTGAGCTACAAAACTTACAGCTTTGGAATTGCTGCTTAACAGCCTGTGCTGCAAACTAGTTAAGAGAGAGAATAACATTATTTAAGTGAATATTGTGTTCAGTCATCTGTAGGTATACTTTAGAGCTAAGATACAAAGTTTAAAGGGGCCTGCTATGATAGCCTAAGCCTGTGAATGCTTACTGGAAGTCTCCTGTATTTGCTGTTCTTAGTATAAACCTCACTGAATTCAGTGGGTCTTCTCAGTTGAAATGCATATGATTTGAATGATGCATGGCTGTTAAACTGCATCAGTTTAAATCCAAGTACAGTACTCTGATTTGAAAGTTTCTGGCAGTGGCAGTAAGTTTGCTTTGTACAGTATTTTTATGCATACTAGGAAGATATAACATGAGTTTCTTTTCTTTTTTAAAGGTTCCATCAACAAAGACACAATGCTTGAGTCGTATGTGACTCCTATTCTAATGAGCTATGTGAATCGCTACATTAAGAACTTGAAACCTTCTGATCTACAGCTATCACTCTGGGGAGGAGATGTCGTTCTTAGCAAGCTTGAGTTAAAACTTGATGTACTTGAACAGGTATGTTGTTCGTTGTGCTTAACTCAAATAAATTAATGTAACATTAAATAAGCTGTCCTGAATTTACTTTGGGTGAATGATACCCTTTTTTAGCATTATTGAGACGTGTATATTCCATGTTTCTCAGGAGTAAAATCATGTGAATTTAGGGTGCAAACGGTGCCTTACTACTCTGGCATACTTTTCTATGTTAATGCATGAAGGTATTTTATAAATATTTTTCTTCCATGTTTGTGAAGCCTGGCCTCCATTCCTCTCTCAAGGCCCTCCATTGCTCAGATCAGGCTGCCTAATTCTATATTGGTGGCATTTCTTTCCCACAAACATCAAGCACCTTTGTACTTACATCTTCTGTCACTCAGTACGCAAGAAGCCTTGCGGTACAGTACTACAGGCCAATTGAAGTTGTCTTCCTTGCAGTGAGTTGTTTGAAAAGACACACTTTATATTCCCCTACATATTTTCAGCTGAAACATGCTAATTGAAGTTGTTTCTCTTCTGAATATTGTGTTGAAAAGATAAAATGGACTTTCTACAGAAAAGACTTGCACAATATAACAGCAGTCTTGTGTTGAATGTCTGTAACATCTTGTTTCTGTAACTGATGTTGCATCTTGTTGACGTGGGGAAAATAACTTTGGTTGGGATCCGGTGATGCAGTGTATGTATACCATAGCTGTCAACTTTTCCCTTTTTTTTAAGGGAAATTCCCTTTTTCCAAATAGGATTCCTTGCAAGAAAAGGGAAAAGTTGACAGCTATGGTGTATACAGGGGAGAACCATACCTGCACCTGTTGCTTGCTTTGGTACAGCAGTTCTATTGCTGAAGAGGCAAGTTGCAAATCCTCAGATGTGGGAATTGTTGCATCATAACACAGAAATGTAGGGATGACTGTTCATGGTTCTCCTGCTATGTGTGCAAATCTTGAACATTACGTCTTTCCTCTGGAGCAGTGTTAGAAACTGATATATGAAAGCTAGAAGCTAAATGGTATCTTAAACCTAGGTTATGGGCGCAACAATGGATTGTCTAGGCACACTTTTTTATAACAAGAATACAAAGCTGACAATGAATGAACTGAGGCTAAAAACGTATGTTCATTTTTCACATGGTTTAGTCCTTATCTGAAGCCTGCAAAAAACAAAGCCATGCTTCCCCTGCCCGTCTCCCTAATAGGGTCTATCCTCCAGTATTCGGAGAGTGGCTGGAAGTGGGGAGGAAAAAAACGGTCCTCCTTTTCTTCTACTCTGCAGACAAGCCCTGGATTCTCCCTATACCCCCTTTCCTTAATATAAATATATCTTTTTTGGCACCACAAACAATACATATTAAAAGCTTATACAACTGATGGCAAAGACACCCACCTTGAGTGTCCAGTTTGCAAACCTAAGACCTATCATATTTTTCCATGTATAAGACGACCCCTAGATCTATCGAAAGCCTAGTGAGGAGGAATTTCTCCTCCCACACCCTCAGCACCAACAGTGGCAGTTTAAATCTGAAATCTTGGGTGCAGTACTGCGCCCAGAGCTCAGAAATTCCCTGTCGCAAAATGTACCTAGAACAATGGGAGTGTCGGACACTGCTCTGGAGAATAAACTCTGTCAGTGGATATTACTTCTGCCTCACTGTGCATTTTTATAATTGTCCTTTATAATATAAAAACACTTGCTTTGGCATACTTTCCTTGTACATTTATCTAATTACTGTTAGGGTTTTTTTCCTGTTGCCAAGTGTTTTTTTCGAGAATTAATTTGATTCACTGTTGTTGGTCATGTGTTCTGTGTTTTATGATTTTTAGAATTTTATGATTTTTAATTATTTTTTAATACAGAACCATGATAGATAGATAATTTATTACGGTCAGAGACCAGCTTATAAAGCACACCTGGGGGTACAATCCCAGAAGGAAAACAAACATTTAAAACAATGTACAACAGTAAATTTAAAATTTATGAATGTGATAAATGTATAGATCTTTATAAACTATAAGATAAGTTACCGCAGAGAAATGATCCAGAATCAACCATGGAACAGAGTTTGGGGATTTTCTTAACAAACTAGTTTGAATAGGGGGATAGTCTGCGCCTACAAATCTGTACACAGAATCTGGTGACCATCCGGGTCGTCTTATGATCTGTGCCTAACAGGAAAAGGTCGAATTTTTGCTTTTCCGGGAGGTCAGTGAGCCTCACCAGCAGGGGATCAATGGTCTCACTACGTGCCTCTTCATAAAAGGGACATCTAAAAAATAAGTGCTCTGGACTTCCTATATCCCCCAATGAACAGGCGCAAAGACTCTGAGCATATGGGACTTTTTAAAAGGATCCTTCCAGGACCAGCGAGGGCAGAGCCAAGCTTCTGGCGAAAGTAAAAGCCCTTCTTGCATTTTTGGATATGAGAAAGAAGAGATTTGCTGCCGGTGTGGCTATCTCTCTCTCAATTTCTCCAATTTTATAGTCTGGGCACCTTGAGCAGTCCTGTTGTCTCTCGGTGTCTATGATTCTTTGCCTAACCGTAACTTTTGCTTGGTCCAACGCCAGTTTTAGAAAGGCTTGAGGGGCAAAACCCAGTTTCTGAAGGGTGTTCAGGACTGCTGTCTGCCAGCCTGACTGGAACTGGTTGCAGAGGATCAGTGGGGCTATTCCTCAGGGGAGCAGATTCAATGACAGCCATTTGTAGATTGATGTTAGCCTCCACTCTCATCATCCCTGTTTCTAGTCTGACCCATGTGTTTGAAATGCATCTGGGGACTTGTAGGAGAGCTCTAACAAAACCATGATATATTTTTATGAGCTAGAAGTTTATAAATGGTCTTATAAATAATATATATATGTCTACATCATATTCATGTAATTAAAATGAGGAATATTTTTTATCTCATATGGAAGTAAAAAGATTAATAGATGAAAATGACCTTTGTTGAGCAATGTTTATGAAGTTTAAAATTGCCACACATTGGTGTATCTGAAACACAATATAAAGAGCTACAGTAGAGCTACATTATAGAAAGGCTTTTGAAATTGAGAAAAGATTCAAGATCAAGTGTCACACATGGTGTGGAGGAGGCTAAGGAGGAGGCTGCTTTTTGAGGAATATGTTCTGTGTTCTAGCATAAACATTAAAATAATAACTTCTGAAGGATTCTCAAATTGCTTGGCTAAATTGAACATATTTCTAGACCTAGAAATGAGTTTTAGAAAGAATGTGGGTATGATGTATCTGTTTAAACTTGCTTGTCATTAAAATGGATGTACACATTTGTTCTATGTAGCATCAATCAACATACTTAATAAAGATAAATTCTAATGTAAGATGTTGGACTATATTCTTTTTTTGACATATGTATTCTTGGCGATTTTGCACTTTCGGTCAGCATATTGAAGAAGCTCTCTTCATCTAAACAAAAGAGAGCATATAAAACAGATGTTTCATTTACTCAGGAGTAAGTTGTTGTTCAGTGGACTTGCTCTCAAAAAAGTGCATTGGATTGCAGCTTTAAGTGGTGTCTCCTGGGTTGTCAGCTTTTGACATCTGACTTGATTCTACATTTTGACAACTTCACTTTGTTAAGTTGAAAACAAAAACACCGACCTGTATTTATACAACAAAGAGTGAGTCAGGCAGCTGTCATAAAAGGCAAACAAGTTGTTTTCAAACTTTCAACAGCTTTCTATTATCCACTTCTGTGTTTTCTTCACTGCTATTCTCTACCCTGATGAAGGCTGAACTCCTGTGTTTCCTCTTGAAGCATTAGGACAGTGGCATTGAATCTTCTATCTTTTCAAAAGTTGTGAAATCGCTGTACACAATAGTAGTAGTTCATGGGAACCTATATATCTTAAAACCTAGCTTATAAACACAGCGGACCTGAACCTGATCTCGAGAAACAGTTGCACATCTTTTCATAAAAACAAAATTGAACAGTAGCCCCTAAAGTAACTTCTGTCCCCTGCACCATGGTGCTATCTCACAAACTGCTGCTGGAATACTGTGCAAGGATAATGGTGTGTGTTTGTGTATGTGTGTACACACACACACACACACACACACACACACACAGTGGCCTGTGCATGTGTACACTCACACCCTTGCCTGAATGGTTGTTCAGTCTATGTTTAAGAACATATGACCTTGATTGATTATCAGGCAGGTTCCTTCAATGTACCGTTTTTGGTGCCTGCTTAAATCATTTTTGTTTAGGCAAGCCTGCCCTGTCCCTGACATACAGATGTTAACATGTTTTTAATTATTTTAACTGCTTTTATGTAGAAGTATATCCCATTTCTAATTGGCATTGCATCTTGAGTACATGCATGATGATTCCTTGTTCATTCAGCTTCTTGTTACTTAATTCAACAAACAGCAGTTCATGTATATGCCAGAGTGCTTATGGATCAAGGCAATTTTATGTAGGATCAGAATATAATGTTTCCCCTAGGCTTGGCTATACAGTAGCTTCTAATGTCTGTTGTTAGTGACTTGTCTGGAGTTCCTTTTATATGTCAAAAGTGAACTGCAAATGTGCCATGCAATTCACAGTGCAACATCCCTTATTCATGACACAGTTGTGAAATCAGGGGCTGACTTGTTATACATTATTGAAACCTATTGGGTGAGCTATCTGGGCCTCACCTGACTCAGATTGTCCTGCCTGAGTATTTGGTGTGGCACCAATCCAGCGGGTGGAGGGCGGTTGCTCCTGGGGGGTGGTCTTTAATATTCAAACTGAGTCCACCTTGTTAGGACCACCTCAGAACTTTATGGCCACCTTAACAATTTGTGGGGCTGTCTCAGTATACCACTGACGCAGCACATATTGCATGTCTGACAACTGATCTGGAATTTGCTACAGAGTGAATTTGGAATGATCCAGTGGTTGTGCAGAGTTTGACCCTATTGTGGGTGGAATCACTCACTGGTGAGGTTTGGATTGGCTGTGGCTGTCTCCCCCTGTGGAGGTGCGGGACCCATTAAGATGGATCTTGGAGCAATAAATCAGCCCAGTTCATGGCTAGGTCTCAGGTGGTACACATCTCAGAGCAGCTACAGCCAGGCAGAGGTGAAGGTGTATAATCACGCCTACCATGTGGCAATATTGAAAACACCTATTCCACAACTGTTGCCTCCTCAGTGAACTTTTTTAGTGGCTAATGGTCTGGTTAAATCATGTTTGGTAATAAAGACAAATAATTGTGGAGGATGCTGAATGCTGTTTGTGCTGACTAGTAAGGAGGAGACAGACTACTGCCGAAGCCATAGGTATATTGTATGAAGTATTCCAAGGAGGAGCATGATGGAAAGTTGAATTTAATTACCTCTGAAGTTTTATTTTAGTCACTGGAGAGTAGAGCATACAGGAAAAGGTTGCCTCCTCTTCTGGAAGGCAGGGTTAAAACTGGAACAAACTGTTAAAGGTGGCAAGACTGACAAAGAGGAAATCTTCTTAGCAGCCTTACAGGCCTCAAGGCCTGTGAGTTTTGTCAGGCCCATGGAAAGAGGAAAGAAACACCAGCTGTGGCATATTGCCACCTTTCTCTTTTGTGTGTGTTCTGTTTCTACTATGGAAAAGGAGTGGGAGATCTTTGCTGTTTATACTTGTGGGCGATGATTCATACCACTCAGGATAAGGTCCTGGATGAGTTGGAGAGAGGGGTGAAAGTTGTTAAGTTGCGCAAAGGTCACAAAGTAGAATGGGGACTTCTTTATGTGACTATCTTGCTGGGTTTTACCCAAGGTATTTTATTAAATTGACATTTGTAATTGCTGCCCTTATTGCAGTTGCTTTGTTTGCATTATCACGGAACTGTTTGTTGTTTACTGGGCCTGTTGATATGATTTTGTAACTGCTGTACATGGTTATATTTTTCTGTATGTCCTTTCTACTTTGTTCTTTTGTTTCCGCACTCTTCGATTGAAAATATTCAATGAATAGCAGGTTATAAATATTTCTGATAAAACAAGTAAGTCACTCAGAAGCTCATTGTACTTTATGTAGCACTTTGAAGGCAAAATTGCTCATATTTGCTTCACACTTGGTGTCATAATTGTAGCAAGCCCATGGTTTTAAAATCTGGAAGGAAGGCCCTGCATTTCCCGTTGATGGGGATGAACCCATGTGCTGATTATACGGGGCAAGGACTCCTCTGTGGCAAATGCCCTGTATGTGGAACTCCTTTCCTGGAGGTGTGTGGTGGTTCCCTTCCCTTGATGGCTTTCAAATGCCAATGAAAGAAGGAGGAAGTGAGAGAGGGGGGAGGGAGAGGCTACTGGGAGGGGGGGGGAGGGAGAAGGAGAGGAAGAAGAGGAGGAAAGGGGCACGCAAGAAGAGGAATCAGAGGAAGAGGAGGAAACAAAGAATTGAAAGTAGATATAAACGCAACGTTTTACCCCAACAATGTCCTTAACTTTTTTAACTTGGAATGTTAATGGTCTAAATGAGAAACTAAAAAGAAATAAAATAGAGAAAGTTTTGAGAAATAAAAAATGTGATGTGGTCTGCTGCCAGGAAACCCACGTGGCCAAAAAACACAAGCGTATATTGATTAATAAGAAGCTGGGAATGGAGTTTATTAACTCCGCGGTGAATAAAAAGAGAGGGTTGGTCATATATGCTAAAGAAAAACTGGAACCCAAAACAATATGTAGAGATGAGGAGGGGAGGATCCTGGGATCCAAATAACCTATCAAGGGGAAAAACTTAATGTTGTATCGGTATACGCCCCCAACACAAATAAAGCTGAGTTTTTCAAAAAACTGGAACAAATACTACTAGAATTAGAAAACCATAATCTAATCTTACTAGGAGATTTGAATGGAGTCCCTGACCCCAAATTGGATAGAAGTGAAAAAAGAAAG